TTCAGCGCCAAGCAAAAGGCAGGCAACGCTGAACACAAAGTCTGTCGCAAAGAGAAGCTGCGGCAAAGAGGCTTCCAAGCAAGCAGAGGTCTCCCAAAAGAACAGCGAAAAGAGAGAGTCTTGAGAAGCCAAGGAGAAATCCCCCAAGCCCTGTGCCAGCAGACCCCACGTCTGGCCACAAACACTCTCCCAGCACAACAGGGTCCTTCGGGCGAGCGCTTCACCCTGGGGGCAGAGGCCGTGGGGACGCTCCCAGACACAGCGGCTCTCGGGAGATGCTTCTGAGAAAGCAGAGAGAGAAAGGAGAAAGGGAGGGCTGCAACAGCACCAGCATGGCCGGACTGGAGGGGCTCTGGCACTGTGGGGGGTCCAGCCCACAGCACGGTCTCACGCTGGTCCCGGCGATGCGGCTTCGGCAGCGTCACGGAGCAGACGTGGGTTTTACACTCCCGGAGCCCCGGCTCCGTGGACGCCTCCGCGACCGCCCCGAGGAGCTGCAGTGGAACCTCCCCATCCCCTTGCACAACCGGTCACACGCGCTTGTGCAGAACACTTGGGAGTTAGACCTTTGGATTAACTGTTTAATACACTTGTGCACATGTGCGTATAGCAAAGAGGCAACTGTGAATCATAAGGCTATCGAGACATCGGCAGGTTCTGGGAAGAGCAAAGGCCCCGCGGGAGGCCTGGGTGAACCAGGCACTCCCCGTTTCTCTGCTGCTTTTCGTCCCCGTTCAACACCCCAAACCCACAGCGAGGAGGGGAAACGGCCTCTTTCGCCCTCGTTTGCTGAGCTCGCGCACGGGAGAGCGGCCAGCCGGGGCACAAGAGAAGAAGAGCACGTCCGGGAGCTCCCTCCTGCCTGACGCCGAGGAGGGAGGGAGAATCCGGCGCCGGGAGACGCTTCGCTTCTCCCCTGCTCAGCGCGTGTTGCTTTCACGCGATGCGGGAGTCGCGGTGAAGGCGGCGCCGCGTCCGGCTGTCCCGGTGCCACGGGCCAGGGCGGATCCACACTGCTGCTTTCCTGAGCTGCGCTCGGTTTTAGGGGAGTCGCAGCCCGCCAACGACAAGGTCTTTTAGCGAAAGGGACGATCAGCGGAGTCTCCATATATTAGTTATTCACGCATACGCAGGGAGCTGGGTCATCCTAGTTTTTAGGTATATCCATATATAAGGTGTACGTTGCCCCACACATATTTTATATATCA